GGCTTTCCGATGGTATGGAGGTTCGATTGTTTGGGCGGTGATTGGCCGGAGTTTTTTGGCTTCAAAGGTGGTAGCCGGCATTTGGATTTTTTGGCTTGGTGATAGTTTTTTCAAATATGGGCTCATTTGCATTTTTAAAAAGTTTAGGAGTAAAATTGCAATTTGTTCCTAATTTTTCTTCTCTTTTATTTAAAAAGAAGGGTATTTTAGTCAAAAGGACGTTCAGCGCAAGGAAACGTTGAAATAAGGGCGAAAATGTAAAAAAATGGAACGTAAGGACGTTTTCCACAATAAGGGTCAAACGTAGGGACGTTTTGCACTATTAAGCCTATATTTTTATTATATGAAAGAGAAGAGAAAGCGTGTATATTACGTTACATGACTGCTTCTATTTACCAAATATTAAATAACCATACATATTGTAGAATGAAAATTAATTTATCCATTAATTATTTTGAACAACGTTACATGACTTTTGTCATTTAAAATCTTAAGTTAATTTCTCAAAAAATTTCATTGACGACGACTCTACATAACAATCCATTTTATTCCAACTTGGTAACCTCACAAAATCAACCTTTTAATGGAAATAATTGTTTTCAAATCATGATATCTACGAAAGTCTCTCGAGATATGATGTTCGCTGTGATATCAATTGTAAGTTTGTAAAACATTCAAGTATTCAATGTTTTTTTCTTTTCGTTGTAAAATATTTTTCGATAATGCCTTATTTGAAGCGTTGAACTGTAAAATGATTTATCGTAATTAGTACTTAAAATATATTGTAAATTTTTTAAATGGCTTGGAGAAAACCTATTCATAGTGATGGAGGGGTGAAGAGTCTTTGCGATGAATTATGAGGTATTTTCCTTTTTGTTGACGAGAGATCCGATATGTTACTATTTTCAGTAATGTAATGGCCATTTGCACATGTCATGTCCTATTTCAAAGAATATCCTATTTGGTCTCCTACGTATGTACACGTACAATTACCCCGTTGACACGCAAAATCAATTTTCTACTACACTATATAAAAAATAAAAGAATTAATAGCAAAAAAACCCTTAAAAAGGTTTCAATTTGCGATATACCTCTTTGAAACATTTTGTGCGAAAAACCCACATACCGTCAACATCCGTCAAATTTGTCATCTACCGTCAACATCCGTCAAATTTGTAGTTAAAAACAGTAAAAAATGCCAAAATTAAAAAGGGACCAATTATAATTTCAGTACCCAAACTTTTTCTTTTTTACAAATTAATCCAAATGTTTTATATGTGCCACTCACAATTCTAAATTTTTAAAACTTTATTTTTCATCTTAGTCCATTCTACCCCACTTAATTTTTTTCCCCAAATTTTTTTTTTTATTTTTCACATAAAAATCAATTAATTAAAAATAAATAAATCAAAGATACAAAATAAAAAATAAAATTTCTTCTTCTTCTTCTTCTTCCCACTCCCCAACCCCATCACCAACACACCAAACCAAAACCCAGAAAAACTCAAGAGCAATTGATTCAAAGTTTTTATGAAAAACTCAGGAAATCTTGGAGACAAAAACCCTTAAATCCATGCTCAAAAAACACGCAGAGAAAGTGAGACTTTGGGAGAAAGATTAAGGAAAAGGAAAAGATGATAGAGGAAGGCCAAACGCATAGTAGTAGTGAAACAGTTACTGGGCCAATTTGTAGAGTATTACTCATATATGCTGGTGCTAGTCATTTTGGTTTGATGTGTTGGTGATGGGGTGCGTGGGGTTGGGGTTGGGGTTGGGGGTGGCGGTGGGAAGAAGAAGAAGAAGAAGAAGAAATTTAAATTTTTGTTTTTTTTTTATCTTTGATTTAATTCTTTTAAATTAATTGATTTTTATGTGAAAAATAAAAAAAAATATTTTTTGGGGAAGAAGATGAAGTTGGGCAGATTGGAGTGTGATGAAAAATAAAGTTTGAAAGATTTGGAATTGTGGGTAGTACATATAAAACATTTGGATTTAATTTGTAAAAAAAGTAAAAGTTTGGGTACTGAAATTGCAATTTTTCCCTTATAATTTTGGCATTTTTTACTGTTTTTAATAGCAAATTTGACGGATGTTAACGGTAGGGGGTTTTTCGTACAAAATGTTTCAAAGAGTGAGGTTTTCTTCGATTTTTCAATAGGTATGGGTATATCACAAATTGAAACGTTTGTAAGGGGTTTTCTGTTATTAATCCAAAAATAAAACAAACATTTTCTTGAATGTCACAAATGCCACTACTTGAACATGTACCAAATTTTTCGAAATTTTAGATTATGGGTTGTTATCGATATTTCAAGGCATGTTTGATATGTATGGTTAGATGATACTGGGTAGTTTTGATTCTTAAAGTAAAGATTTATCAGGCCATTTTTTATATTAATGATATTTGTCGTCTCAATGCAACTATTATAAAAATCATCAATAATAATATAGTCGAAAGTACACCTTAGAAGAACCAATAGCATTGATCATGTGATTTGTAGATAACTTCTAGCTTATATATTTGTTTACACCAAGTCTAATATTAAAATGACCTAACAAACAAAATATAGAGTAGGGGTGTCCAAAAGTCCCGAACCGAACCCGAACCGAATCGAGCGGTTCTTCGTAAATTAAATACCCGAACGGGTACCCGAATCGAGAACCGATGAGTTTGGGTCGGGTCTCGGGTTTAGACCAAGAACCGACAAACCGAAAAAGCACCGAAACTAAATAAAATTTTTTATTTTTTTATATTGAATTAATTAATTAATTTCATTTTTTTCTAAATAAATTAACAAATTAATTAAATAAATCAAATTATTTCATATTTTAAATTTTAATTTTAATACATATGTGGAAATCTTACATCAACGCCAGGTCATTTAAAATACACTAGGGAATGTACAGGAAATGAAATTCTCCACATCACAGCACCAAACACTTCTAACATTCACTAGTACACAAATTTCTTCAAGGTATTTATCAATAGTGGGTTCATTTCTAGCAGAAACGAAATCATCCCTTGGTAACTATGTTTTGCCCAGCCTTGTTTTTCAACGCAAATTTGAGCCAACCCGTCAAAGAGTCTCGGCAATTCTTCGTCTTCCTCGTTCGGCGTACAATGAAGGGATAACAGAGGAAGAAAAACCTATGAAGTGAAAAATATGAATTTTTAGTGAAATTTTACAAATAAAAATGCCATAAACCCATAAAACGAAGTAGTGTCACAAACTCCCTTTATGTTTGACATTTTGTTCTTAAACTAAAATAGTGTGTTAAGAGGATCCCTGCAGCCTCTACCTGTTTTTGGTAGTGCGCTTTTCAGGTTCTTTTGCTCTCCCTTCCCTCCATATTCCTTTTCAAAATCAAACCAAGAACCCTAATTATACGCCAATATTTCCAATTTCTGACCTAAAGTGAAGGGATCGCGGTTCATGCTGTGTGGATGTTTGAGGTTATCATTCATTTTGATCCACGCGACTTATCTTATTTCCTGTTTCTATTTATGCAAAATTAAAACTGAATCTTGACTATAAGAAAAAATTTCGGATTTAATTCAACTCGAGTTGGATGGTATTACATTATTGCTTCGATTTTACGGATTATGATTAGTGTCCAGAGTGCTAACTGCTTGTGGAAATATCTAAAACATTTTTGAGTTCATTCATTCGGCCGGAACTAGGGGGAGAGTTCACAACATTATGAAGAATTGTAAGATATCGGCCTTTATGTTCTAAATTTCAACTAGTACTGATGATGTGTGAAAAATAATAACTACAACGATTTTATGTCATCTTAGAAAATGTACGTTATTACTTTGTAACGTTTTGAAATATGTACAATTTTGAATAGTTTTGTTTAAAATTCCCAAGCATTTTAATTTGATCATTTTCAAACAAGTGAAACCTTGACGATTTTATTTAAAGTAAATTGGCTCTATCTCCTATTTTTACAAGCAACTGTCTGACTTCCTTAGAAGTTTTGTTTGTTCCTTTTTTTTTTGTGATTTTTCCATTAGGATGTTAAGGAGCTAATAATTTATTGAGATATCACAGAAGATATAGTTCCGGTTAATATGTTACGAGCCATGCGGTTGGCGTGGCTTTAAATTAGTTTCATGTCTAATCAGGTATTGAAAACAGGATAGTTAACTTCAATTGACATAAATGGGGTTTTTTTTAATTTCATGTATAAAAGGTGAATTGTCTGAGATTTACGGAAAGAGGCAAAAAAGCAGCTAATTTTTACAGTGGTTCACTTTTCCAAAGGTGACTAGAACAGGCAATATGGTGTTAGAGGATTTTGAAGGTGCGGAAAAGGTGGCTTTTGCAAATTCCTTCATAACTAGGATAATATAAACAAAATGGAGAATGTCTACTTTTGCGCTTGATCAAACTTTTTATGATTTGATTAGCAAAGGATGTAATTGGAATTGATTCTTAAAGGAACTTGAATTTGAGAGTTGTGATTATTATTATTATTATTATTATTGGAGATATTTGTAGTCACATACTAGGATAACATAAACAAAAAGGAGAATTTCAGCAAAGCTTTTCTATCTCATGCTACAATGTGTTGGATAGCCTAGATGTTATATCAATTGATATGAAACATACTGGAAGTTTAATAAAATTTACTTGGCATGACAGCATGACCATGTAAATGCTGTTAAGTTTAATTCCTGTTGTATATTTATTGATAAAATGACTGTTATTCGTATGAACCTAGAAATTACTGCTGTATAAAACTCTACCATCCATGACAGCATATTAAACTTAAGTTCAATACATATGCGTGTGTTTGTTGTGTATTTTTGTATGTACACATGCATTTTTATTTTCTTTGGCAGCAAAATTTATCTTTGTACAAGTTCGCATACTCATTACATAAACCTCTTTTGTTTTTTTAAAGGAAAAAGAATTGCCTGAACGGCAAACTGATTGTAGAAGTAATTTGGCACTGATGTTTGTATGTACAATCCTTTATGTAGCTTGTTTCCCTTACGCTGCTGCCTCACGGTTGCACCCTACATCTTTGAGCCAATCAACAACTTCTTGTATAGTCGGCCTCTTGACAGGGTTCTGGTTGACACACATGCAAGCCACATCAAGCACTTGCAGCATCTCTTCTTCAAAGCCTTTGCCTCTAAGGAGTGAATCGAAGATCTCTTCTTGTTTTCCTTCGTTCCTCATTTGCTGTACCCATGCAACCAATTCTCTTGCCATCTTTGCCTTAAAGAGTTCTACAGGCCTCTTTCCAGTTAATAGTTCGAGCATAACAACCCCAAAACTGTAGACATCCCCTCTCAATGTGGCTATCCATGATTGACTGTATTCTGGTGGAATGTAACCAAGGGTACCAACTAGTTCGGTGGTTACGTGAGTATGATAAGGAAGAATCGGCCTTGCTAACCCAAAATCTGCCACATGTGCATCAAAGTTATCATCCAGAAGTATGTTACTGGACTTTAGGTCACGATGCACAATATGTGGTTCGCAAATCTGGTGCATATAAGCCACCCCATAACTTGTCCCTTGAGCAATCTTCAGTCGAGTTGGCCAACTGAGTAGGGATGCTCCATCAGGTTTTTCATGCAACCAGTAATCCAGGCTCCCATTCTCCATGTAGGAATATATTAGCAATCTATAGCCATCATGAACACAGTAACCCTGCAGAGTAACCAGATTCACATGTTGGGCAGTGGACAAAGCTTCAACTTCGGCTTTGAATTCCCTTTCCATCAGACCCATATCTCCAGAGAGTTTCTTAACTGCCAGCTTGGTACCATCTGCTAAAGTTGCTTTATATACCAAACCAAAGCCCCCACACCCAATTATGTTTGACTGGTTGAAATTATCTGTGGCTTTCAAGATTTCAGTGATTGTTAGGTCCATTGGTTTATTTGTGTTGTTAGGAAACAATATGACAAGGCTGGTATCATTTGCAACTTCATTAAATACTCCAGAAGAGTTGAAGGATACCATATCCATATCAGTTTTCTCAGGGCCACTTTTTGGTAGGATCCTCCTCTTGGAAATTACCCAATATATCAGCAGAGTAAAAGTGAAAATGCCAGAACAAATCCCGACAACGAGTGCAATGATTTTTCTCTTTGTTCCTTTCCTTTGTGCTAACTGATGGGTAATTTCTGGTTGACTACTGCATGAGCGCTGCAAAATTTTACCACACAAACGTGGATTTCCTTCAAAGCTTGAATTAGGAAATGTGTCAAACTGACCTCCTACAGGTATAGGACCTTCAAGACTGTTGTCTGCAACATTGAAGAAAGACAGAAAGTGAAGATTTTCGAGTGATGCAGGAATTTGACCAGAAAGATTGTTGATAGAGAGGTCCAGTTTTTCCAAGTTAGTGAGATTAGATATTGTGTCCGGAATGCTGCCAGAGAAATTGTTATCGCTGAGATCCAGGGCAACGATAAACTTCAATTGACCAATCTCAATTGGGATGGTACCCCTGATACTGTTACTCCTGAGGTATATTGCTGGTGGCAGGTTGGAGAGCTGGTTGTATTGCAGATTGGAGGCATTATTGGGCTGAACAAAGACAGGCAATTCTAAATAACTTTGGTCTACTTGATCTGAAGTCCGTTGTGTTGCTAGTCTTCTCAGTTTTATAAGTTCCATGGTGAATTTTCCTGATAGAAGGTTTTGGGACAAATCCAAGTAGAAAAGGTTTGGAAGATCCCCAAACCATCCTGGGACGGAGCCTGTGATGTTGTTAAGCGATAAGTCTAGAACCTCCAGCTTATCTAGTCTGGACAGCCAAATTGGAATTAGACCAGTGAATCCACAGCCACCTAAACCCAGGACTTGAAGATTTTGGAACTCGCCAGCTCTTATCAAGTTTTCATCTCCAGGCAGTGGTTCATTGTAAAAGTTTTTTGAGAGGATCAAAGTGCTGAGGTTCTTGCACCCTGTTAGGATGCGCATAGCACTGGTGATATTGTTTAGGCTATTATTAGAAAGGGATAAGAAGGATAGAGATTGTAATGCCATTATATCAGGCAAAACCTCTCCATTTAAACTATTAGTAGCCAAGCGAATTGCAGTCAAATTCTTGCACAAAAAAAGGCTCGATGGCAATCTACCTCTGAAGAAATTATTCCCAAGGTCAATTGATCTAAGCTGAATGAATTTGGAGAAATCAAAAGCAGAAAGCTCACCTTCAAGGAGGTTGACCCTTAAATTCAGCGTTGTAAGTCTCGTACAATTCGTAAGAGATTGGGGCAGAGTTCCATTTAGTTTATTTATGTGAAGCCACAATTGTACCAAGTTGGAGAGCCTCCCAATATTTTGAGGAATCATTCCTGTCAATTCATTACCATAGAGAGAGAGGGTTCTAAGGTTAATGAGGTTAACAATGCTTCCATCTATCACTCCAGAGAGTTTATTGGCAGGCAAGTACTCAATTCATTACCATAGAGAGAGAGGTTTCTAAGGTTAATGAGGTTAACAATGCTTCCATCTATCACTCCAGAGAGTTTATTGGCAGGCAAGTACAGTTCTTGCAGTGCTGAAACCGTGTAAATATCATTGGGAATGGCACCCGAAAGGTTATTGAAACCTGCTCGTAGTCTCAATAGATTAGGACACTGGCCAAACCCTTGCAAAATTGGGCCTACAAAGTCATTATTGGAGAAATCAAGATGCACAATTGAATGCGAAAATCTGCAGACAGATGAAGGGATTGAACCGGAGAAGCTGTTATTGCTGACATCAAATCTTTGCAAATTCAATGCTGGCTGGAGAAATGAAGATTGGATTCTCCCATAGAAGTGGTTGCTGGATAAATCCACTATTGTGACAGTACTCATCAACTTATCAGAATCTGATAACTGTCCGGTGAGACGATTATGGCTTATATCAATGATTACCAGGCGGTTCAAGGCCATAAAAAATCCATCCGGGATAGGACCTGATAACCAATTTTGCGAGAGATTGAGTGTAGAGAGACTGGTGAGGTTTACAATAAAAGGAGATATGGTTCCAACTAGCCCTTTCGACGGTAGCAATAGACTGTTCACCCTATCACTCTCATCACATCCAACTCCTTCCCAGCTGCAGCAATCAAAAGAAAGAGACCAATTCAAAGGAGATGGAGTGCTAATACTCAGATTGAATGATGATAAAGAGTTTCGATCTTGTTCATTACATGAGCCATGGCAGGTATATACAGAACAAGAAAGATTCACCACTACTACGATTAACAGCACATCCAAGAAACACCAATAGGACGAGGACGAGGACGAGGACGAAGAATGGAATGGAGACAAGATCATGGCTGTGTAGGATTTGATTCAAAAGGGGTTATTGTGTGTTGATGATTATTAGGAAAACAACAGAAGATGAAGACAGATGAAGGTACCAAAGATGTTCCAATCAATCATGTGGGTTCTTCGTCCAGTTTTCTCATCCAAGTTTGTGCAGACTTTAGTCTTCTACCCACCAAAGAGGAGGGAGAGATGGTAGAGAGGAAGATAGAGTGGGTGATGTTGACATGGAGCAATATTAAAAGTTGAGCCTAAATTATCAAAAAAAGCGTTTACTTTTGGGACGGCTGGCTGGTGGACTTTCTTTATGTTATGCTGTGCATATACATATAATTGGCTTTTAGATAGGATAATTCAAGTCCGGTTTTTATAAGTGGTATCCTGGATCAAGATTCGTGCTACGAGAGTGTGACGACTGAGGGATGTACTGTTCAACCTCGTAAGTCTATAAATTGGGTCACTGGTGATCTAATGCTAATTTTTAGATAAGATGGTTAAAATTCGACGTGACAAATATGTTTTTATATTATATAAAAGAGAAGAGAAAGCGTGTATATTACGTGAGTGGGTGCAGGGGAAATTTCACAAGCTCCAATTGCCACTTGTTGAATATCTTTTTCCCTGTATAAAACTATTGTAGTGACCACTTGAATGTACCAAACAAAAAGATAATTATGGTGGTTGTGACTGCTTCTATTTACCAAATATTAAATAACCATACATATTGTAGAATGAAAATTAATTTATCCATTAATTATTTTGAACCACGTTACATGACTTTTGACATTTAAAATCTTAAGTTAATTTCTCAAAAAATTTCATTGACGACGACTCTACATAACAATCCATTTTATTCCAACTTGGTAACCTCACAAAATCAACCTTTTAACGGAAATAATTGTTTTCAAATCATGATATCTACGAAAGTCTCTTGAGACAAGATGTTTGCTGTGATATCAATTGTAAGTTTGTAAAAAAAAATTCAAGTATTCAATGTTTTTTCTTTTCGTTGTAAAATATTTTTCGATAATGCCTTATTTGAAGCGTTGAACTGTAAAATGATTTATCGTAATTAGTACTTAAAATATATTGTAAATTTTTTAAATGGCTTGGAGAAAACCTATTCATAGTGATGGAGGGGTGAAGAGTCTTTGGGATGCATTATGAGGTATTTTCCTTTTTGTTGACAAGAGATCCGATATGTTACTATATATGATATAAACGTGATGGGCTGACATTTTCAGTAATGTAATGGCCATTAGCACATGTCATGTCCTATTTCAAAGAATATCCTATTTGGTCTCCTACGTATGTACACGTACAATTACCCCGTTGACACGCAAAATCAATTTTCTACTACATTATATATAAAATAAAAAATAAAAGAATTAATGGCAAAAAAAACCCTTAAAAACGTTTCAATTTACGATATACCCCTACCTATTGAAAATCGCAGAAAATCTCCATCTTTGAAACATTTTTGTGCGAAAAACCCACATATCGTCAACATCAGTCAAATTTGTCCTCTACCGTCAACATCCGTCAAATTTATCGTTAAAAACAGTAAAAAAAATGCCAAAATTAAAAAGGGAAAAATTACAATTTCAGTACCCAAACTTTTTCTTTTTACAAATTAATCCAAATGTTTTATATGTGCCACCCACAATTCCAAATTTTTAAAACTTTATATTTCACCTTAGTCCATTCCACCCCACTTCAATTTTTTTCCCAAAAATAATTTTTTTATTTTTCACATAAAAATCAATTAATTAAAAATAAATAAATCAAAGATACAAAATAAAAAATAAAATTTCTTCTTCTTCTTCCGACGCCCCCAACCCCACGCACTCCATCACGAACACACCAAACCAAAACCGAGAAAAACCCAAGAGCAATTGATTCAAAGTATTTATGAAAAACTCAGGAAATCTTGGAGACAAAAACACTTAAATCCATGCTCAAAAAACACGCAGAGAAAGTGAGACTTTGAGAGAAAGATTAAGGAAAAGGAAAAGATGATAGAGGAAGGCCAAACGCATAGTAGTAGTGAAACAGTTAGTGGGCAAATTTGTAGAGTATTACTCATATATGCTGGTGCTAGTCATTCTGTTGCTCTACTCTGTAAGTTTTATTTCCTGCAAGTGTAAAGGTGTATAAAACATGTATTTATTTTAAATTAATTGCACCCCATCACCAACACACCATTTGAGGATTGGTTGATTCATAAAAACTTTGAATCAATTGCTCTTGAGGTTTTTCTGAGTTTTGGTTTGATGTGTTGGTGATGGGGTGCGTGGGGTTGGGGTTGGCGGTGGAAAGAAGAAGAAGAAATTTTATTTTTTGTTTTTTTATCTTTAATGTAATTCTTTTAAATTAATTGATTTTTATGTGAAAAATAAAAAAAAAAAATTTTGGGGAAGAAAATGAAGTTGGGTAGACTGGAGTATGGTGAAAAATAAAATTTTAAAGATTTGAAATTGTGGATGGTACATATAAAACATTTGGATTTAATTTGTAAAAAGTAAAAGTTAGGGTACTGGAATTGCAATTTTTCCCTTTATAATTTTGGCATTTTTTACTGTTTTTAATAACAAATTTGACGGATGTTGACGATAGAGGGTTTTTTTGTACAAAAGGTTTCAAAGAGGGAGGTTTTCTGCGATTTTTCAATATGTATGGATATATCGCAAATTGAATCGTTTGTAGGGGGTTTTCTGTTATTAATCCAAAAATAAAACACACATTTTCCTGAATGTCACAAATACCATTACTGAAACATGTACCAAATTTTTCGAAATTTTAGATTATGGGTTATGATCGATATTTCAAGGGCATGTTTGATATGTATGGTCAGATGATATGGAATAGTTTTGATTCTGGAAGTACAGATTTATCAGGCCATTTTTTATATTAATGATATTTGTCGTCTCAATGCAACTATTATAAAAATCGTCAATAATAATATAGTCGAAAGTACATCGTAGAAGAACCAATAGTAGGTTCGAAATTATTGATCATGTGATTTGTAGATAACTTCTAGCTTATATATTTGTTTACACCAAGTCTAATATTAAAATGACTTAACAAACAAAATATAGAGTCAAGATTGCTGGCTAGGAGATGTGCGAAGCATTTGAGCAATTTATACAAGTCAACCAAAAGGAATTGACATAATATTTGATACTTAGTATTAAATATTATTGAAAATAAATTTTATATTTTTAATAATATTCAATACAGTACAACCCATGTTATCAAATGGTAAACTCAAATAAAATGAAGGTAAATTGTTCAAATTATCTTAATCGTAGTTGACTAAGTACACGTGAGGGGATGGTCACACAATTGAAAGGTTCATTTCACGATGGTCACCCATCTTTAAATCATTTTCAATTGACTACTCAACTTTTGTTTTATTTCAATTGGACGATATTTAATACCCAGTTCTACATGGCTGCAAAGTATGTGACTAGGACTTGTTTTGACATTAAATCAATAGCTTTCGGAAACAATAAAAACTCGATTGTATGAATTAAGAACTCAAAATTTGTTTGTGTATTCCCCTTTCGATTGTAAAACTATTGATTTAACGTCGAACAAGTGCAAAGTCGTTCATTCTTTCAGCCACGTGAGATTGATTGCCAGTTTTGATCATGGTTACAAACGAACGTTCATATCGAACGAAAATATAAGTAAGCTGATCAAAGTAAATTAAAATTAAATGATTAATATATAACAAATTTTTAATTCACATGACGTCAAATGAAAGTTTTCCTAAGGCATTAACATTTTTTTGTTGATCAAAATCCAAAATGCAAGCAAACTAATAAAAGTTGCATCATATAGTATTGTACCATCAATAAAGCTATTTGTACAAAGTTGAGTTACAAAAATTGGGTTACAAGGTGTGTTGGCAAAATCCAGATCGTTTTGTTATTTTGTCAATCAACTTTGTACATGTAGCATAACCCTTGTACCATACTGATTTGTCAAGTGTCACGAAAGAAAGATAGTGCGAAATAAATAAATAAATCTCGAAGAAATTTTTAAATAAAATATGATATCAAGAACATATCTAACCCAACCCAAACTTTGGATGATGCTTGGCTCTTTAGAGCATTATCATATATATATTATATTAATAAAATGTCACTTATTTGCTAAAATATTCACCCATCATTTCACCGGTCATTTACCAAGCAATGGTCGGCCAATTGCACTAAGACTCATCAATTTAACACCACTTGTTCAAAGTCAATTATGATTCTCCCTTTAGATTTTCAATAAGCTATAACTACTTTTATGATTATAACAAAATATTCGAATCCATTTACAAGAAATAATCATTATTCTCGAACAATCTTAGTTTGGGTCGTTTTTATTCTGGTTGAACGATTCAAAAGTAACTAAATCTTTAACAATTATAACAAGTCATCTTAGTTTTGACAATTTTGTTCTTCGTCTAATGTGCTATACTGAAAAAAACATCATCCTTATAAATTAAGGTACCTTTAAATGTATACCATACATATCCAAACTAGATAATGCATGATGACCCGCGTGAGGACTTAAAAAATGTTAATCTCTAAGTTGCTTGGATAAAGTCACAAAACCAATTATGTTTTTGAGGAACGTTTCAAGGACCAAATTGGGAAAAAAATTTGACAATTTAAGTTACTTATAAATTTATATTTGATGGCCTCATTTTGTTTACATTTGCAAAATACCATTTTCCGTCATTATCTTCTTTCTCAATACGCCCTTTCTAGAGAAAAATAGTGCTAAACTCGTAAATTGTGTGGTTTTAACTACCATCCTTCAAAAAGGAAGGCCTTGAATCCTTAATATATTTAAATATGTAAATATGGATTCTCTCGTGACAAAAACTGATAATGTGCATGTAAAAATCGCATGCAACGTTTACATAACTTAAAATATGGGGGCTAAATTGTCAAAGTTTTAATATGGGAGACTCGGATTCACATATTTAACATGAACTTAGAAATATTAACATCCACTTAGATGGATTCTCTCAAGTGCAGCCAAATCCACATATTTGAATAGATTGGGACAAAAACCCTCCCCTTTTTAAGTTGAAGAGCCCAAACCATACTAAGCAAAAAGTTATGAAGTTCAACCCTATGTTTTCCTATCCTCTCCTCTCCTCTCCCCTCCCCCTGTTCCTCCTTCAATTGCTCATATTCCCCTTGGCCATGTCACTTCAGGTTCTCTCAAGCCTGAGGGTGTCAAGTGGGACGAACTGTTTCCCCCACAAAGCTCAACTCGCCCAAGAGGCGAGTCATGAAATGAGCTGAGTTGATTTTATTTTTTTTCTTCATGCGAGTTGCTTGTCGAGAAGTCAAAAAACAAAAAATCGCCATATTCGCCAACACAAACTAAATTTTGAATTTATATTTTAGCTGAAAATTTTAATAAATAAATAAATAACGGGACAGGCCCACGCCCGTCTAAGGCGGGGCGCGAGGAGCAACCCCTAACTCATCCCGTTGCCATCTCTAATAAGGTTAAGCCAAGCATAGATATTTTGAAGATGCCAACTCATATTTGTTCACCATATTCGCGAGTACAAACTGGCTCACCAAGTTGTTGAGTCGAGCCCCTTGGTAGACGAGCACGACAAGCCGAATATGCCCACCTAACACCATACTTGGGCCACTACCTCCTTTCCCATGTCATCAGGAACTTCCTGAGTTCGACCCCCAATTGTCTTTCTAGCCTAGCTCCCATCCTGTCCGCTTTTTCCCCATACTCGTGCTCCCGAGTACACAAAAATGGAAAAAATGGAGGAGGTGCAACGACACGGGCACAGAAGGAGAGGGTAGGGGCTCCCTTTAACAAATCATATGGGATATTTAATCTAGAAAAAACTGGTTTTGATCATGGATAAAATTGTCATTTTCTTGGGTAAACAAACCCAAGAAACATAAATATATGGTTGGCGCAGGTCTTGGTCTGATTTCCATATTCTTAGCAGTTGGCAACTAGAATGGTGACTGAAATGAAGACAAGCTACATGCACTTTTAAAATCATAAAATTTCATTAGGCTGCTACCAAACAATTATATATTGAACAAATTACTCAAATCTGACTAGTCAAATGACTTATTCAAACTGAACTTGGACAAAAAATGAACCAACAGGGATGCATTTCATAACAAAATAATTCTTAAAGAAAGACAAAAGATATCAAAGATTACATGCTCCAATTTACTATGCATCCAACCTAACTTCTTTTTCGTATCAAGAACCAAAAAACAGCTGTCTGTAATGCTGGTGAATGTAGATTCTGCTCAATTTTGTTCATCGATCAAATAGCATATAACACAGAAAAATATATGAGACCCAAAATCTACCGGCTCAGCGCTTCTGCTGACATTGATAATGTTCTCTATCCATATTTTCTACCTACTCCTTAGGGCCAAAGTTAAGTTTTACTAAGATGGGCTTTGTTTATAGAGAGTGTCACAGTCGCAGATCTAGCTATTTGTTGTGCCAACACCAAACAAATGAAATAATCCTTCTCTCTCTTAATCATCATCTGCACAAAGCCCAAATGAATAAACATTAATTCCAATTTGAGTTAAAACTAAGAGCACGTTTGAGCGTGCTTTTTTTGGTAGCATATCCAAAAAAGCACCTCTTTAAGGTGCTTTCAAGCATACCCAAACATGCTCTAAACCAATATTTTGAGAAGTTGACAATTCAGGTTTTAAATTGCGTAGAACAAAAGAGCATGCTATCTTTGAAAGGCACCTACATATAAAAGTCTAAAGTCAAAGCTTTATGTTCCATTTTTAAATATTGAGAAAATGAAAAGCTCCACATTAGTGGCTCTACTTTATATTAGTAATGCCAAGTAAACCGGGATTGGAGATAGCAAAATTTCCTTCAATCATCATAGAGCATTACCAAGAAGCAGAACTAGGGTGCTAATAAGAGTTGAAAACATATTGATAGGTCTTGAAGGATGTAATACAAATAAGATTAATATGAAGTTTAATAGTAACTTGCAAAAAAGATCCCAAAATTGAGCACGTGATTCTCTTTCCAAAAAAATTAATTTTTCCAGATATGTTACTTAACCCCCACCACAAATTCAGGTTAACCCTGGGCCATACTTTCAATGTAACCCACACTTTCAATGTAACCAGATCAACACCAGGTTGCAGTAGCCGATCCTTTATGTACCCAGGAAAAGTAAGAAAGAAAAGTGATGTAAAACTCCGTGCACAACAGAAAGCTAAACATGCTCACCATTTGATGGATCGATGTGTACATAGAAACTTGCAGCAACAATGAGATAGCATAGAATAAGCATCAAACCTTTGAAATAGTTTGATTTTCCTTCCTGCATCAACATAAACAATAGTGATAAAGTGATCGCTAGGAAAGCTCCATTCCATTTCCAAGTGCTTGTTTGGGATAGCTTCAAACTTTCTACAGAGTCAAGGTCAAAGTAACTCACAACTTTTATGAACTTTTCAATCACACATTTCACACACACCACCCTCACGCGCCCTTTTTCTTTGATTTGGTGGAATTAGATTTCCTACCTTTCCAGCTTTTTATTTATTTATTATTATTATTATTATTATTATTATTATTTATTTATTGTTATTATTTTTTTATGTTTCCATGTATTACAAAGTCAAACGAACACTAAACTTTGATTAAAAAAATAAATTTTTAGGAATTTTTTTTTTTTCGTTTTTTTTTTACTTTTTGGCAATGGAAACAAATTTTATAACCAATTGTGGAAAAAATTAAGTTTAATGAACAATTTTCATGTAAAACAAAGTCAAACGAACACAAAATTTAAAAAAATTTCGGGTGGAAAATTATACCAATCAAACACACTAAATTAACAATTCCCTGCAAAACAATTTCTAGGCAATTACTTTCCCTGAAATTCATTTTCGTTCCACCAATTTTCCTCATTTCCAATCAAACGGACCCTAAGTAACTTTGAATTACCCCACCTGGATGGTAGCCAGGAAAGGAGAAAGGGAGGAATCAAACCTGAAGCATAAATGCCACCACCAACACCGTGATAAATAGTGTAGCAGTTTCAAAGAGTTGGAAATTCAAGTCCATATGCATCCCCATTGTCCATCCAACAATTACACAGAATGGTATCTGCATTTATGAGAGTAAAAGCTTGCTAAACCATTCAGAAATTGAACATTAACAATGATGACCATAATAGATGCAAGACATTACCACAAACATTGATATCTGAGTAGACGATCCAATTGCAACTCCAAGTGTGATATCCTGTAAAATGGAGAGTTAATTGAATTGAACGACAAAGAAGAAATTGTTTGTGCAGCAGTTATAGTTTTCCAACTCACAAGCTTGTCCTTCATGGCAAACATGATAGCACTTGTATGTTCTGCAGCATTTCCCACAATTGGAAGCAAAATGACACTAATAAAAGCCACTGGCATGTTCATCGCGTCAGATGCTCCCTACAAAATTACCAACAACGCAGTAAGATCAGTTGTTCAAACAAATTGATGATCACCCAACAATGACAATACAAAAGAACTCCCACCCATCAAATATGCAAAGCGGATTCAATTTAAAAAAAAAAAAAAATACAGTTTGAAAAGAAAGTGCAGGAAAAGAATCTAGAGAACTAAAAGCAACGTAGTAAGATCAGCTGTCCAAACAAATTGATGACCACCCAACGATGACAAGACAAAAGAACTCCCACCCATCAAATATGCAAAGTGGATTCAGTTTTCATAATATCTAAAAGGTGAAGTGCAGAATGCAGTTCGAAAAGCAACTGCAGGAAAAGAGTCTAGTGAAGCTTCCCAATTAACAATCGCTAGTAAGATCAGTAAAACCCATCCAAATTAGCAATCCTTCTGCACAACCATTCAAATATTTTTGAAAAATGACTACATATGCTGCTTGCAATATAACGATCAAATAAAGTTAAGAAAAAGAACAATGTGCACTAATTTTATAAACTTCATCAGTCACCCCTAATTTTTATGGTGATGAACAAAAATTCGGCATCAGAATTCTTAATTCACTAGCTGTATGGAGGCCATTAGTGGGTCAGCTTGACCAAGAGAGTGAGTGGTTAGCCAGAGCTTCTGAGAAGTTAATCAAAGCTGGAGACGATGGCTTTTGTAACAAGGGAATGAAGGACTGTGTTGCGAAGATCTTCAATTTGAACATTCTTATACACTCTCCCTCTCTCCAATAGGTTTTATTAAAAATTACATAGGCTACTGAAACCTAGGATAACCTCATAACTGTGCAATAGAATGATCCAAGGACTAATACCTAGCCAGTCTAATGCACGTTTTAAAACATTTTTGCTTTGTTTACAAATATGAGAGCAGAAGTATGACACGGTATAGCTCAAACTTATGTCTAAATTTATTCAAGAAAAACTTGCTGTCATTTTTTACTTTTATCTATGTTGCATGTCCATAATAAAAACATATCCTCTCAAACCAATGCATGCAGTTGAAAGGAAGCAACATGGGGGTAAAATATCATTTAACTTTCTGCTAAGAAGTTATATAATATTTTAGAAAAATTAGCAAAATGGGTGTAGCGACCCGAATATTAAAAT